ACAAAAATGTTTTATAATTATCAATGATCTTCACCTACCTTTACTAAAAAATAACTTGGAAAAAAATGTTTAATATTTTTTCTATATAACAATAATGTCTGTGTATAAGCTGAATGCAAGTATTTTACATTATGCCGACGAAAAATTGATAAAGAAAAATTTTAAAACTTTTTTTCTGTGTAATGGTTTGATATCGGTATTGCCAAATTGATTTAATGTTAAATATCAATATCAGTCAGCATGACAAATAATCAGAAAATTTTAGCAAATTTCCTGATTTGAATGTGAGATAGGCAAAATACTCATTAGATTCATAAATTCTTGAAATTTAAATCAAAATGCACTAGTAAAAACGGAAAACTCTGAGTAAATACTTTTCTGCATTTATATTGCATTTACAATATAGATCAATTCGTATTAATTTTTTTTTCATAATTTTAATGTGGTACAGAGTAGAAGAAAGCAACTGCTAGATGTAATCCATTCACGAAACATGAAATATATCCCGAAGCTTTTGTACATTTTAAGGACATTTGTAAACTGAGTGTTAAAATCTCTAGACTCACGTAGGCAATGTCAATAATTCTTGCTTCCTAAACTTTGGGTAATAGATTTCCAGTTTGTTTAAACGAAGTGGCAAACCACTTTTAAAGTCATCATTTGGTATGTTCTATGGTCGATACAATGACCTTGTCAGTTAATACAATCTATCATTTAGTCGTTTTTCAAACGGATTTTGACCGTTCACGGTAGCTCAGTCGGTAGAGCGCTCGCTCCGTGATCGGGAGGTCGTGAGTTCGAATCTCGGCCGCTACTGACCTAAGTCGATAAAAAATAGGTAGCAACTGTTCCTCCGCCAAGCGCTCGGCAGTTTTAAGTGAAAGTTGTGGGTCCTTCAGATGAGACCTTAAAAACCGAGGTCCCGTGTCACGGCAGGGTTGGCACATTAAAGATCCCTCAATGCTCAATGGCCCTGGGTGCCGAGTAAAGGTCAAAATTTGAAACCCTTCACCGGTATATGGTGACGTCTCTATATGAGTGAAAAATTCTCGAATGGGACGTAAAACAACATACAATCAATCAATCAACAATCAAATGGATTTTACGGATTTTTCCGTTTTCCCGATCATGACAAGGAGCACACGGTGCGTGTGACCGGTGGACAGGGGATGTGTACTCTTCCATGGCACCTCCCACCTCCGATGTTTTTAGAGGTTTGTGTTTGCTCTGCTCCCGATTTGTATTGTTTCAATGGACTTTTGAGCTTGACTACTGTTCTTTATCTCCATATTCCATTCAAAGCTGAAGAGATAATAAAAAAGTAAAGCTTCGAAAGTGTTGTCATTTGAAAATCTTCTCAAAGCCCAAGAAGTAAAAAAAATGAATAAATAATTATATAGGTGGCGTTTTATCAATTAACAATAATTATTTTCATTCATATATTAACTCGATATACCTCTCGAACTAACAATAAACGACACCACTGAGTTTGTCAGATCTATTTCATATTTGGAGCGTTCAACAATGGTCAAATCTTTTCTCGCATGAAATAATAGAAGAATGCCGGGGCATAAGTTTGAAATAAGTAATGGGTACCATCAAACATCTTTACAAACATTTCACTTCGCCTGACCACATATTCTTTCAATGGGGGTTAGAATTTTGGGGAAAATATATCATCTAAATAATACTCCCACTTTAAGTACTCCATTCCGTAGACAACGCGAAGAATAATGAATCAGGAAACTATCCACGGCCTTTCCATATGGTCGCAACGACCACATAAATAATGTTGGGAATCTTTTAAGCCCACATTGTGTCAATATGAATGTGATGGGGCTTTTTGAACAATACACCTAGACATAAGTCTAGTCATAGGCATCGATCATACAATTAACTAAATATACATGATGTCCCTTTTGATTCTTTTCTGACATACGTTAATAAACAATTAGGTCTTCATCACTTTCGTATGAAACTTTTATCGTGTTTTCTTGCTATTTTTTAATGGACTATTGGAAGAAGATAAAGCAAGTCCATACTTAGATTCTTCAACTGCAGAATACAATCTAGTTTTTTTTTAATCATGGAATTCCAGCACAGTCTCTTTTAGCCACCACGTTTATTGGAAGATAATTCTGACTCTACCCATTGGTTCCTTAAACTTAAAGTTTCCAATGTAAATCTTATACGGTACATATTTTGATGCACCAGATGCGCAACAAAGGAATAGATGCTGTGAAAATTAGTAACATTCTTAATAATAATAAAGTTCAGTCTTGCATTCCACCATATTTCAAGTTGAAGTTGACCCTGCATTTCCTACGATATTCCAAAACCGTTGCTTCCAGACTTTTTAATTATAAACAAACCCTACAGTACATAAGTGCATAGATATTGAACATCAAAAACAAAATCCTCTCAAGTTTTCTTTCTCTTCTTTCTCTTTTTCTTCTTTTAACTACAGCCCAAATGGACACGTCATTACTGGTGAGATACTAAATACAGGGAGCCACGATCTTTCAATTGGCGACAGAACTTCATTTCTATTATGAATTGTGAATTTTGTCGAAAATTATGCAAGACGTTGGGATAAATATGAAGAGACTTGAACGTTTTGTCAGAATTGATTAATTGTTATAGAAACATATTAAAGAATCGTTTTAGAAAATCAAAAGGCAAAATGTGAACCATCTATCCTTCCCTTTTCATTATATCGGAAGTGATAAAAGAATTAGAGAGACCACATGAACAATATGTTATGGTACCAGCAGACAAGTAACAATATCGTCTTTGATTGTAAGGCTCATTATTATAACTGTATTTTAGAAGAATTTGGTTTTTATACTATGTTGATAATCCTACGTATACTCACAGTTCACTTTCTAAGGTTTAAATTATTCAAACTCATATTTCACTGTTTAATACTTTTCAAATTCCAGTCAACCAGGGTGAATTCGATCTACCCTACTTGTACTGGATTCCTAAAATTTCTTACAGGCAAAGATACATTGCCGGGTCCAGGAAATGACCTACCAAGCCCCTTTTTGTGCCTTACTAAAATATTAACTGCTGCAAGAAAAACCTCAGAGTTTGGGAGATGTCATTGAAATGCTTATAAAGATGTTGATGCCCCGCACTATTTATTTCAAACTTATGCCCCGACATTCTCTTATCGAGTGATTTTTTTTTTTTTGTTTCTCCAATAATAATCAGTTCGAATAGAGTACATTCAAATGTTTTATTTACGTCTCCGAGTTGATTTGATACGCAAGGACATGTTCTTCCTAAGTCCAATTTTTTTCAAAGAGGCATGATTCAGACAAAAAAATTTGATGATGCAAGGGTATCTATAATCTTCTTTATGTCGATATTTCTAAAATCTTATGGTCAATTCAATTTCCTTGTTTGCAAAAACAATCTGTCGTTAAGTCGAATGTTGACTGATGTCTTTCATACAAATTGTTAGGCTCTTTTTTCAAACTGAATTGTCAACGAATTTTTGCGTTTACTTGATAATGAGAAAGAACTAGGGATGTCAATTTTGTCAATAATTTATATTCGAATATTCAATGAAAGTATTCGAATATATTCGAATATTCGATAAAATAGATAAAATCTGTATTATCTTAATTATGCATCATTCTACTCTCCTGAAAGGTTTAGCGTAGGTATACTTATATTGGAAATAAAATTGTATGAAGACTTTTGTAGGTGTACAATAAGAAATTCCATTTGATATTTGTCAATGTTTGAAATAAATAATTGATTCAAATGTAGAAAAGTATAATTTTAACAAATGAAACGTGTATTTATAGTAGCCCCAACTGAGGAACCAGTCGTCTTACAAAAGGCAAGATAGTCGTAACGGTATAGTACTGTTCATATTTCAATACGTGTAATAAATTACAATTATCTGCCTGATAAGAGATATGAATATAATCTTTGATACAATGTAAACAAAAATTTCCATAGACAATTTTCCTAGGTAATTAAATAATTTCCCGATAATGAATATAAAATTCAGGATTATGTACAACCCGAGATAATCAAGTAATTTACACATTTATTCTGAAATTAAGCCCTTTACAATATTAATTACAGATTAATTCTATCGGACATTCATTCAATGATCAATTAATTTTATTTTGATAAGTATACTCTTCACGCCTTTTAGACATTCTTAGATTTCATTTGTTGTCCTCGATTCTAGATCCGATCGTATCTAACTAATAAAATCTTAAAGCATTATTGTACAATTCTTTAACACCTTACTCAAACCAAAATACATGTTATTTAGTAGATTTATAAGCTAAGAAAGTAGTGTATCATGTTGTAAATTTTGAATTTACTAGGGGGAGGTAAATGCAAATTTTACATGATAACTAGTTATCATGTTGTAAATTTTGCATTTACCTCCCCCTAGTAAATTCAAAATTTACAACATGAGACGTGAAAGAAATCAGGCGATCGAAATTGATTGCTAGTAAATTAAACAGGGATAATTCCAGCACTGTTCTAATCAAAATTTATTAATCACAGTACTTCTTTTTATGAAATCTGAAAAACACCGAATATTCGAATCTTAAATTCATATTCGAATATCAACTCATCGAATGAATATTCGAATGTTCGAATATTCGTTGCCATCCCTAGAAAGAACACATGGCGGGTGAGACCGGTTGGCAGGGGATGCGTACCTGATTTCACCTCTGTTTTCAGAGGTCTGGTAGGCTCTGCTCATAATTTGTATTATTTAAATGGACTTTTGAGAATGATCAATGTTCGTTTCCTTCACATTTCAATAGTAAAAAAAAATTATTCAGTGGAACAATATAGTAGCTAAACATGTAAATCTTTGAAAATCTCCTTACTTTTCATTTCAAATAAAATCTGAAGTTAACAATTAACAAAGAATACTTAAAACGTAGAGAGTGCACTCCTGCATGTAGACATTGTACATGTGCAACATAGTACATTACACGCACTGTGGGCGCTTATCATGTAATGTACTATTAGTTGAAGGTGACCACTTGTACTTGTATCACCGAAATGTCGACAGTATTAAAGACATTGATCTTTCTCTCATCACTTTCTGTTGTGTTCAGGTAAATTTTAGATGTTTTAATTTGATACTTTTGTATTTTATTACTCTGTTACTTACCTCTATTTAAGATAATACTATCAAGGACGAATTTTCCTAAGAACTCAATAAGGAAATAGCTACATAATTTCAGCTCTTCAAAATGTGTAGCGTGCGTGAATTTAGGTCATATGCATGTAAGATTATTTCATTCCTTTTCAAATGAAAAAAGCGATGTCTTTCATAGATGTGGTTTACAAATGGAATCAATGATCGAGTTGGTATGAATTAGAAACTTTATAAGAATACCGTTAATTATAATAATTAATAACCTTGATTAAAGATCAAGTTTTGAATTACAGTTGTTTTAAAAATCCGAAATGATAAGAACTACGCTACCATAATTTTCACAATTACACAAAATCATTAGTTTTAATAGCAGAAGTCATGCTCTCTATTTATCAACTTGACCGAAGAGTCTCTGTGACATGAACTTAACCCTCTCTTTATTTAAATTAACGATACTTATTTGACTTTTTTTATTCTTATTTTTTTTAATTTTGATTTTTTTAGTGCTGGTGCTAGCGGTCTGACATTTGCGGAGATTGCACATCGTGTAGCTGCTAATGTTGACGAGGACCATGACGGAAACCTGACCATTTCGGAAATTTTTGATTCCATTGTCACTCGATTCGACCACGACGGTACACGTCTTACGTAATGTCAGAAGTAATTCCATAATATTCCGTCGTCTTTTTACAATCGAGCTTGATTAATAAACTTTAAATTAAAATTTCACATTATGCAACTGTATATTACGGAGGCCCATTTAGGACCTATCAAAAAATGTTTTTTAATTCGCTATAACGAATTGTCGAATTCAATTCGTTATAACAATTTCTTTAAATTTATTATAACGAATTCAATCTGATATAACAAATTTATTGAATTCGTTATAGCGAATTCAAAAATTTGTTATAATGAATTAAATTCGTTTAAAAGAATTCTAGAATTTGTTATAACAAATTTTAAAATTTGTTATAACGAATTCAATTCGTTTTATCAAATTCAATAATCGTATCCTACAGAAAAGTATATAGGAATTCGATATAACGATTTGTCGAATTCGTTTTATCGAATTTAATTTGTTATAACAAATTAAGGAATTTCTTATAACGAATTTAATTCATTATAACAAATTTTTGAATTCGTTATAACGAATTCAACAAATTTGTTACGGCAGATTGAATTCGTTATAACGAATTCAAAGAAATTGTTATATCGAATTAAATTCGTTTAAACAAATTCGAAAATTCGTTATGTCGGATTCAAATTTTTTTTTGTAGGCCCTAAATGGTCTTCCGTAGTATACGACATAATTTCTACTTGCAAGTTTTTTTTCTTTTATATGAATGCATTTTAATATCATTATTTTTTTATTTTCATGTTTATTACCTTGAATCCTTTGAAATTCTTTTAAAGGATTTTAGAAGTAAAATTAATTAAATTAAATTAAGAAAACAACACACCAACACCGCCTAATATTGTTATCTTTGAGACACTATTTTAGGTAATGGTTGTGCAGGAAGAGCAGAGTTCATAAAACAATGGAGTCATGATTACCATGACAACCCGCATATTTCTGGCATTCTTTTTGACCATCTTGATTTGGACCAGGACGGATGTCTGACTAAGATTGACATAGAATTCAATTTTAGGGCTATGGATAGCCCCCATGGTCAGTAAAGACTTACAAATTAACAGTTAGTTACTTTTGTTTCGTATTTGAATGTTTTACTGAATATCGACGTTAATGGCATGAAACTAACGATTAACAATATGACAAGTAGGATGATCTTGGCTTTTCCATCGTCAACTTTCAATATTTATCTTGCAATATTTTGCTATCACCTGCAGATATTGTCTAGGTAATACAATTGATTCGATACGCAAGAGTATGATTTGATTTATGTACGATCAATTTTTAAGCTGAAGGCATCCTACTGACAAATAAGTTGATGTTACCTTATGAAAGTATGAACACGTCTATCAACATTCGACCTAACGACGGATTGTGTTTGCAAACAGGATCATTTTATTGCCATAGAATTTGCAAAACCCTGACTTTAAACGAGATTGTTAATTCTTGTATCATCAATTTATTCAATTTCTTTTTACGTAGAACATGCTCTTGTGTCGAATCAATTGGGAGACATTAACCCCATATGCGGGTGATTATTGTATATTGCTATATAGATATGGGAAGTTAACGATAAATGAAAAATGAAGTCATCGTATTTATCATAATGTTATGCTTCATAAATAAGGAAGTTAAGGATGAAAAAGTTTATCATAAACTTTGGTTGTAAGTTTATCATTAGGGTCTTTCTGTGGTAAAATATCCAAATTTAATCAAATGTGTCAGACTCAATAGTGTCTTTTATTTCGAGTTCAATGGAATATATTGATCCAACGTAGGAATGAATATGAATATTGTTAATAGTTAAAATGTCGTCGTTGATCAAATATTTTTAAATATATTCAAGTTAAAAACAAATCAAGATAACAGAGGGAGAATTATCTTGTCCTCTAATATTTATGAGTGAATACATTCAGAGAAAATTTTGACTTAATAATGTTTTCCTCTTAATCGGTGTTTATTACATTTGTAGCAATGCAGTATTTTCCGTAACACGAGTCAATAAACAAAAGCCGTATTTATGAGCCTCTTAATCTACATCGTTTTAAAACAGTTGAATTTGCCTTCGCTTCTATTTATATATAAATACCATTACGTAAAATTAAGTATATATTTAACTTTACTTCATTCATTGATAAAAATAAAAAGTGTACTAAGTGTTTACTCCAAAAGATTTATGTGTGAAGTATGTTATTTCCCCAGATTCAGTTTTTCTTTCTGTTTTCATTTTTAAGTTTAAAAGATTAAACTACAAATAAATTAGATTAACTGATATTTGGTGTATGTTACTATTATTTTCTGCATGTCACTATTATTTTCTTGATATAATTTTTAATCAGTCATACATGTAGCTTCTTCATTGATAAAAAAAAATGTACAATTTGTTTTCCATATTTTCCCAGTAAACATTTGGTCTCGTGAACATGAATTAATCTATTTGACACGCTTAAATTCTTTTACTCTGACTGAACTTTACAATGGTTTTAACTTGGCGTTAAGCATAATAATATATATTAACAATAGCTAATTTTATTATATTGCTTTTTTAGAGGTTCAATGATGTTGCCCAGCACATTTGCTTTCAGTAATATTATTAATTAATAAACATAACATCGCGGTCACATCCCATTGATAAACTTTAGACAGGAACTGTTTTAATATCTATTTCCGACTTAGATGATTGAGGACACTCCTATCTCCTTTTTATGAATTATGAATCGTGTATTCAAATCATGTTTCATATTGTAGTAGATGAAGGTATTACACTACGATACAGAATGTAATATAGATTTTTCCACTAAGAGTAATACAGACTTATAGATATAAAATTTTGATGATTTTTTTTTCTTTTTGTATTTTGATTTCCTTGAAATTACTAACATATAGTTCAATCCTTATTTGTTTATCTGAAGAATGACTTGCCTACACTTTAATGTTTGTTGTTTATTTATTAATGTTATTTACTCCAGGTGACCACAGTGTGACGGAAGCGGAATTTGCTGCATTTTTATCAGCGGTCGGTACACCTCACGTCTAACATTTAATAAGACTTAAATAATTACTTTTCTCAGCGCAAAAATTAGCTTAGTTAGTTTAATCATATTCAAACATATTTGATTAATTTGGGAACTAATGCTATATATTGACTCTACTCTGGTACGTATTAATGGTCAATATTAGTAGGACTTCAAATATAGAAAAGCAATTAATCAAAACGTGGTCATTTTTACACTCAAATGAGAGAAATACAGTAAAATAATTTTGGAAATATTACTCAAATTAATTTTCTCTCTTATTCCAAGCTCTTTGATTGGCTAAAACATGATCAAGTATATAACAGCAGATAAATTTGTGTTACTATTTAAAGAACCTGAAATACATATCGACCTGATGTTTCTAAAAATTGGAAATAATCTTCTATAAAGCTATAATAATGTTGACCTTACAAAACTAACATGACTTAATTGATGTTTCTAAAAAAAGATATTTTAGTTCCTAAATATTGTAATATATTGTGATGTTTTGTAACAATTGTTAAGAGGTACACATGTAACAATGCTTAGAATATTGATCTACTTTATGATAAAAAGAATTTGCTATATTTTTCATAAAATGATAACAAAAAAATATTATAAAACAATATGTAACCTTGTTAATAGGCACATTCTCTATAATGCTTTTTTTATTATAAAGGTAACAAATTTTGCTTTATTATTTTCAAATTTTGTCCTGTCAAACTCTAAAAAATATAACAAATGTAGCCCTTTCATTCGGTCAATCCATATATATATCTACTTCACAGAAAAGCCGATATGCACTTCCTGCTTGGTCGATATGCTTTTCTGTGAAGTCGATATATTTATGGATCGACCTCACGAACAGGCTATATTTGTATAATATTTTGAGGTTGATGAGTACTTCTAAGTCCACCGATCATTCATCATAAAATCACTGGCTTGTTCAGAATTAGCACGGTAATGGAAAACGGGAGGTTACACTTTTTGAAATATATTTTTTTAATATTGATAATAATTAGGTAAGCATGAAACTTCTTATTACACAGGTCCATCCTAACAGTAATGGAGGTGGTGTAGTGGGGTGACAAATACATATATCGAGCACGGAGTTCTGAAAGATCATTGAATAAAAAGATTTTAAAATATAGCTTTACTTCTCTTATTTTTGATAATTATATAATTTTTAATTGTCTTAGAGATTTAAGCAATTTATTTTGCAAATTTTTAAAGATGATTTTTTGCTAAAACGAGTGATCTATGAATTTTTTGTGAGTTTTCCTTAATTCATGTTACTATTTACTGAAGAATCTTAAACAATTAAAGTATTATTTCAATGACTAATGACTGTTCCATTGTATGTATATTGTAAAGCTCTAACAGTTGTTTTAAAAGTTCGAAAAATATACACCCATCTTCGACTGATTGATTGATTGATCGATCGATTGTATTTTACGTCCCTTGCAAGAATTTTTTAACTCATACACTTAACACCGGTAAAGGGCTCTACATTTAGACCTATACTCGGCACTCAGACCAAATGATCAGTGATTCTTTACCTTGCCAACGCCGTCGCCCGCGTGGCGCAGTGGTTAGAGCGTTCGCTCTAGAGTCGCGGAGTAAGGAGATGATTCTTACGTCGCGGGTTCGAATCCCACTGTGGGACGTGGAGACCAGTCCTTCGGATGAGACCGTATAAACCGATGTCCCGTGTCGCAGTAGGTGCTGGCACGAAAAAGATCCCTGCTCAATGGCCCTGAGTGCCGAGTATAGGTCAAAATTTGCAACTCTCCATCGGCAAGTGGATGCGTCTCCATATGAGTGAAAAATTCTCGAGAGGGACGTTAAACAATTAAATAAACAAACCAACCTTGCCAACGCCTACCGTGACACGAGACATATGTTTTAAGTGTCATATCCGAGAGACCCGTGAATTTTGATTTTAATCCCGGACGCTTTGCGAAGGAACATGCAGTCACTACCTACGTTATAAACGTCTTAGGTTAAACGAGGCGCCTGGAACGAGAATCGAACACGGACATCTCGATCACGAAGCGAGCGCTTCGCCACTGCGTGATCTACCTCGACCTGTCATTCGTCTTCGAAGCGCAGAAACTCTTAACTTTATCGCTACTATAACGGTTAACGGGGAATCATTATTATTTATTTTTCAATCATTTTTTATTTTATGCTACTGAATACAGTTTGCGTTTTCTTTTCAGAACCAGCTTCTTAAAAAATGATATTTTCTTCTCAGAGAAGAACAAAAGATTCTTTAAAACATTTTTGAATTCTGTTTACATATACTTTATTCTAGCTAAGTGACATTTAAAGTGACAGTACGGCACATCTCATCAAAAAACAGACTTGATAAAAAATTTTCGATAGGATTTGGATTTTTTTTACTACTCATAAATGTATCCACTTTCAGAAAATTACAAGTTTCATAATTAAATAAATTTGATTATTTCATTAAAATTAATAATTATTTATGGACCATAAATATCTACATCGCAACTAGTCCGAAATATCTTACGTTTTCTTAGCTTTTTTTGCGATTTTGATATTTTACGTGCCAGGGAAACGTCAGAACCGGCGCCATTACAAAAACTGGAAATTTCGTCGTCTCCAACCGGAGTTGATTTTCAGTACTTGCCAACCGAATTAAATGCCGAACTCACAAATTATCAATAGCACAATGTTTCTAGTATTCACCAATATCGATGAGAAGAAAACATCACTCCATATTTCGATACAGGACTTGCAAGATTTTAAAATGCATGAAATGAAAACAAATCTCGACAGTCAGATAAAATGTTTTAATCGGATTGTATATTTTATAAAAGAACCACAAAAACGATGTTGGTTAGTACTGAAATTATTGTACTATTGATAAGTTGTGAGTTTGACATTTAATTCGGTTCGAAACTATCGAAAATCAACCCGAGAATGCCACCTCCAATTGGAGGCGGCGAATTCCCAGTTTTCGTAATGGCGCCGATTCAGGCGTTTTCCTGGCACGTAAAATATCAAAATCGTGAAAGAAGCCTGGAAAACGTCAGATATTTCGGACTACTACTTGTTCAGGGTTCCACATTCCATGCTATGCACGCATGCAGCGTTTTCATAAACAAAACAGCATGGTAAGAGAGGGATACCTGTAGCTCCGCTACATTGACAAAGTCGACCAAGAAGAAAAAGAAACTGAAAACAGAGCTTGAAAAAGCAACTTTCCTGATTAAAATTTAGTTTGGGGATTAATATAATCATTAAATGAAGAAGAAACGGGATCTCGGCGACACTTACGCACATCTTCGCTAGCCAAGGTTTTTCGGTCCGCTCTGTTTATGGGGAGCAGAGCGGACCGACAACCCTTGGCTAGCGAAGATGCTCACGCATGGCTCGTGAAGATTCTACTCTACAGGTTTGTTGATACATGTTATCATTTCTCATATCTCCATGGCTTTCAAAGAAAAAAAATTAGTGTAAACTCAACATAAAAGGCACCTATGACATATAAACATTGTTGCCATTTGAAGTGCAAATTTTAGTGGAACTGTGCAGAAAAATATTTGTTTGACGTTTTGCCGCGATAACGTATGATTTGGTGGTTTTTCCTTTCTTGGACCCCAATACACAAAATGTCAACATTCGTACTTTTAATTCTGTTAAAATCCGTCTGAATGCAGACTAAAATATTTACGATTATTACTCTATCGGTTATGATATTTTGCTTTTAAGAAATGCTTTTACCTCATATTCCATTATAATTGTAAACTCTACAGCGTAGACACGTGCCATTTTAGAATTCACGTGGTACAAATAAACAGATCTAAGATTGCTCCAGTTTGTACGACCCTTGATTTTCCGGCAGATTCTAATTACTTTAATTTTGTATGAGATAGGAGAGAATAAATATTTTTCTCAAACTGCTGACTTCAACTTTATACCTTATTCCTTAATAATATATTGGGTACATTTGAATGAAAAAGCACACGTTTTGTAACCGTACTGTCGCTTTTTAAATATACTGCGAAGATGTATGCTGCTTATACAACATTTGTATCTTTATGAATTGAGGGATTTTGTTGTTGTTGTTTTTTTTATTGAAAATTCATATAAAAATAAGGTTTAAACATGCACCTTCTTCAGATATTTCGTTGATTTCATTGAAGGTATGAATTACTTAATTTAATTGATTCGTGATTTCCGCTTTTTTATATGATGATTCATTAGACTACTAGAAAATGCTTGGATAGTTCTGTATTTGTACGGTAGGTCTGTATTTATAAGATTGATCACTGTTTTAGTATCTTCACCTTATACATAGTCCTACTTTGGTGAATTTATTAACCGCTTGTGATTATATAAGTACAGTATATGCTTTTAAAATCACGGTCAATTTAAGCTGCATAGTAAGTGAGGTGGGTAAAAAGATATTTTCTCCATAATATTTGTCTAAAAGGAAGAATTTATCTGATTAGACCCTGGTTTTCTATTCCGTGTTTGCGTTTTGATCGCTGTGTTTATTGATATGCACTTGGGGACATTTAGTTTTTATTTAGTTCCTTAAAGGTTATTTTACAGGCACATCGTGATCCATAAGAATTAACCAGGTATAACATAGGCGTCGGAACCGGGGGGAGGGGGTTAGAGGGGGCTTACCCCCCCCCCCCCACACACACACACTTTTTATTTTACAAAGATATACATAATATAGACATAGAAAATTGGGGCTAAGCTCCCCAAACGTTTTTTTTTTGTTCGTTTAGCCTCCCCCCTTACAATTTGCTTCCGACGCCTGTAATAATAATGACAAAGGTTGAGGAGCTAAGTTGCATTAAATTGTTCCTGTATGTGCGCTTTCAACTTTGTATTCTATAAGGGGTCGGATCAAACATTTTCTCTCTGCTATTTTTTTTCTCTTTTTAAATTTACTAAATACGTTATAGTTGACTTATATAGAAAATAAAGGTTCATAAAACATTTTTGACATGAATTTAATAAATGTTTTCAAGATGATGTACACTATACAATAAAAACCTTGATATGCTCTTGCTAAAAAAGGCCAAAATCATTAACATTAATAATAAAGCTAAAAATAAAAAATGATAATAAAGTCAAAATTATCACAATTCTAATATGTATAACAGTAATGTTGTAGATTGGTACTTAATCAAATATGCCTTTCTTTACAAAGTGACCATACTCGTATTTTCAGGATAATATTGGTCATTTCCACTAGTAATGTTTAAATACGAGAATCATTTCAAAAAATTAATGTCTTACAAACATACATAAAAAATATTCAGATCATCAACACAATATATAAGTGGGAATATAAAATATATATGCATTATGAATCAAAATAAATAAATAAAAACTTTTTAACAACGCTACAGATGACGATGCAAATTAATGTAAATACAATGAAAATAATACTACTAGTACATGTGCTTTAAATTTTGTAAAATTTTATACAAAAAAAGAAAAAATTCTCAGTGGACGTATAAAATGCTTGAATGGGAAAAACTGTTAGAAAAACAACCGAAAAAAGGTTAAATCACTAACATCAATATACTCTCTGATTTCTTCTTATTTTTCATATTCATAATGCCAAGTTAACAACACTACAAATCACAACAGATCTATAGCTCAAATTGCACAATGCCCAGAAAAGACAGATGTCCGCTAGAAGCGGACGGTCGCCTCAATATAATTGGGGGAGGAGGGAAGGGGGTTGGCCATTTTTAATAGCAAATATATTTCAGCACATATTGTCAATAAAGATACAACCTAGGATGTGGTAACGTTAGCTTTGTTTCCGGACAGCTGTGCATGCGACAGATACAGGTTCCTCACTTCGTTCCCAGTAGTCTAAAGATCGTCGGTACTTGAGTACCGGAACATTCACTTCTATTAATTCACAGTCATATTCCACGGGGGTTCCATTCAGTTCAAACACTACCGAGGATCGGGTGCACGTGGTGGAGGGGAGTTTCCGGGGAACACGCTCTACGTCATCTATCATAATAGTGGTCCACGGGCAGATAGAGCTTGTATCAAGTCGCTCTGACTCCTCGTAATCGGCGTAATCCAGTGGCCGAAATGGAGGGTCAAAAATATGGCATCCGCGACATCTTGAGAGTGGATGTGACTTACAGTACATTGCCATGATTGCTAAAAGTGCCATCAATTTAACATATATAACGTGGACATTCATTTTTTGTAGCAAATACTGGAACCTTGATTATTAACTGAACTTGAGGCAACTCTTCTATTTATAGCTATCACTCCGGTTCTAAGCATTTCCGTGAATTCCCCGTAAGACGTCAATTCAAACCTGTGAAAATTAAAATAGCGGATATGGTTACTTAATCAAAATGCGTATTGAGTAAATCACATTTAAAATTTGAGTACACGTACATTTTCTTTTGAAGGGGACTTTATAAAGTACTAGTTGTACATGCATATGTCAACAATTGGATCAGTCATTTGGGAACATTCATTTACCACTTGCATAAATGGCTGTTTTTCATTCAATCACTTAAAACTTCTTTGGAAAGTAATTGTAAATTTAAAGCTGAACATCTAGAATAATACAAATCACTATAAACACGTGCTTTATGCAGCAATGAAATCTGATTGTGCAAAAGAGAGCATTCATAAAGATTGTTTTAAACCTCCAGCAGACAATTCATATTTAATTGAAAGGTTACTCATATTAAATTTATTATTGTGAAATAAGGATAGAAAGTACATGACAAGAATAACATTTGTTTAGATATGCTACATAGTCGAGGTTTTTCTAAACACTTTTCTTTATTATGCATTTTTTAAAAGGCTGATAATATATAAGTGATTTACATAAGATAATTTAAAACATTTAGTTGCATTAATTTTCTCAAACAAATCATTTAATAGGTAAAAAAAAAATAAATCTTATGTTGAATATGCTTTTGGCACTAAATACTTTATAAAATACTTTTATTTATTTATTTATTTTTACTGGATCAATAAATTAATAAAAACAAAGGCATGCAATTTTACATGTGAATTCAATACCGAGATTTTTAGAAATCGCAGATTTATTTCCAGTGACGAAATTTGACTCATTCGAAATTTCCCTATCGCCTATAGTAATCACGAAGAGTGGCGTGTACTTTCCGTCGGTATTTTTATTCATCCAATGACAACATGAGTTCGTTGAAATTGACTCACTCCCACTTAGGTCACGGGTTCACTCTGATTGTACAGGGTGGATTATCGCTGCAATATTGATCATGCGTATATTGCACAAATTTTTCAACTCATACATCTAGGAAGTAAATAAGCCCTGCTTTTTGAGTTAAATAGCTGGGAGTGTATATGGGGATACACAACAATTCATTGGTCAATTTTCAGAAGCACTAAATTACAATGAAAACCGCACCCGACCCGTAAATCCTTAGGTCACTGTTCTGTATAGAGTACAGATGTTATGTGATATTAGCTTCACCAAGTTTATTTTTAATTTGGGTTTTCTTCCTCAAACACCTATTTTTAAAGTCACCTTTACTTAAAAAAATAAACTATTTATCGTATAATTTTTTAATTTCTTTTTTACATTGATTATTTTTTCTATGCTGCAGAATTATAAAAGAGACTATCATTTCTCAGTCAGATCATAAAACATTAACTTTTATGAATGGATTTATCTATCTTAGTAGTATTTTGTTATTTCAATGGTATATTGTTTGCTATAGCCGGAGGCAATTAGCTGTGTATGGGATTAGGCCTTCATTTACATAAATGATGTCTGTATTTGTGGTATTTTATAGGATGGCTGAAAAATTTTACAAACGGTAAGCTTTTGAATTAAAATCACATTTTAAGGACATGTAGTAGGTGTGCGAAAATTAAAAATCTCCCATGCATTCCTAAAGATGGGAAGTTTACTATGGATACCCAAAAGGTTCCAAGCCTGTTATACCTAAAATGTAACGACATGAGCACTTACTTTAGAATGTAAATTGTAATTTGTAAATTGTTTTATAAATTTAGTCATTATAAATTTGCCCTAATTTAACAGGTGTAAAATATGGATGCAGGATATGTCAATGTGCAACTTGTAATTTTGTCAATTCTTGATATGTAACATGCAATTTTTAAAACCTGGAAAGTTATGCTAGTACCTATTAAGACTTTTAAAAATTTAACATTTATTGAAAACAAAATTAAGGTCTTATTTTACAAGTGGTCAAAAATGCAAAATGCATAATTAAATATAAATACAGTATGCAAGCATAGAATATACAGGTAATGTACATGTATGTTGGCTTTGGCCTACTTTATCTTCAGCATTGCATTGAGGAATGCTTCAACAGGTATCCACTTAGTAAAATATTTAAAAATAAATCTCGGGATTACCAAAATGGCAATATACAAGAGTCATCATGGATGGAATGCCAGAATAACGAACAGCTTCTGCTCAAAAGTCCAGAAAAAACTGAGATCACAGCAAACACAGACCTCTGGAAACAAATGAGGTGGGAAAAGATGCCATGTGGAGTAAATATATCCTGTCGATCAGTCACAACCGCCGTGAGCTTTTTTTCTTGATCAGGCAAACGGAATAGTCTGTAATCAATTCAGTATATAAATAATGTACTATTTATTTGTATTAAAAATATCGGTCAATATTTGACCTAATGAAAGGTATTTACAAACAAGGTCATTATGTATCGACCATAGAAACCGTCACGGTAGCTCAGTCGGCAGAGCGCTCGCTCCGTAATTGGAAGTGTTCGAATCACGGTCGTAACAGACCTAAGTCGATAAAAATAGGTAGCAACTGTTCCTCCGCCAAGCGCTCGGCAGTTTGAAGTGAAAGTTGCAGGTCTCTCGGATGAGACCTTAAAAACCGAGGTCCCGTGTCACGGTAGGCGTTGGCACGATAAAGATTCCTCACTGCTCAATGGCCCTGAGTGCCGAGTAAAAGTCTAAATTTGAAGCCCTTCACCGGTATATGATGACGTCTCTATATGAGTGAAAAATTCTCGAACGGGACGTAAAACAACATTCAATCAATCAATCGACCATAGAATTTGCTAAATACTTACTAAAATATAATTGACTATACTTTCGTAGTATCAGCTTATTTCTCAGTAGCCTACCTATGTTTATAAATTGATCATACTTAGCACCCTCTTACGTATCGAATGGGAGACCAAAAAAAACCCGATGCAGGTGATCATGATACATTGTTATTATACATAAGGAAAGATGAAGAAAAGTTGAAGTCATAAATGTTTATAATAAAGTTTAGTGTTAGTTTGCCACCAATATCTTATTCTTATCAAAAATGTGCAGAGTCTGTGGTTCTTTTATTTCCAGTTCAGAAGGATATATTGTAACAATATATGAATAAATGTTCATTGATAATACGTCGTCGATATATTTAAATGTCGATTTGAAGGGTACAGTACGTGACATCTCAATTCAAGAAAAAGTTTTTCAACAAAAAAAATTGCTTCTAAGTTCTAAAGAATATAAAGACACTAAAAACAGTTCGGTTGAAAAAAGGGCATATTAAATAATACCATTTGGAGTCCCAACAGATTGCTGAAAAACCTGGTCTCAAAGACATTGTTAATAAAGACCTGTGGCATCTTTTTAATATCAACTTCAGAGTACTTGTGTGTAGACTCAAAATGATTTTAACAAAGTAATTTTATAAATGACCATTCACAAAATATGAAAAATCTCCAACTTCCATTTTTCATTAAGAAGCAGTTGTCATTGAAAACAAAATTCCTAGTCTTTATCTCCCATACATATTTAGAGTTACATAATGCATAAAGTGTTGAAAAGCCATAGGTTTTGATGCTACTGATTTTGGCAAAATACTGTGATTTTAAATTTTCTAAAGGGCTCAGACCTTTTTAGTATCCACATTTGACTAAATCCACTTATTGAATATGTTGTTGCACAGAACTGCTGAAGTTTCTCCTTTAACGCGGATAGTACTTCCCTTGGGAGTAAAGAAGGAGGTCTATTCAGTAGAGCATATGCTAATTTCTCTATTCACTTTTTTCCTAAGCGTTTTGGAATCCAGTATAGGTATGGTAATTCAAATTTAATTTGATTGTTGGGAATACATGTATTGAAAATAATTCCTGTATGTTTCCTTTGAATAGGTTATAGCCTTCATTTGAATATAATGCAAGCCTTTTACTCAATAAAGCTTCAATGCAAGTTTGGAATTTGACTTTGATGGTGTGTGTGCATGATTCAAAAGACGAAAAAGTTTTCAGTTTGACACGCATTTTTACAAAGCATTAGATGGGATGGAACGATTTTCTTAAAATTTATAGATAAAGGAATGAAGAGAAAGTTTGTTAAAAAATGTAGATATATTTTCTTCAAAGGAGATGGGCGAACATAGCGTGCAGAAAGCCTATAGCTTCAGATATATAAAAATCATGTTCAGTTTGTGAATTTAGTATTTAGAGTAAAGTTCTCATTATCGTAATTTATGAAATTATGATAAACAAAACTTTTCTGAGGAAAATTTTCTCGGCAAAATTTATTCTTTTATTAAAAAAATTAATGTGGTATTCGTGTGGTTCGAACCCTAGCAATAAAAATCCTGAGTATCTTTTCTTTCGAGACTAGCACGCTAACCACTAGACTACACAAGTCATGATGAAGTGTGGCATTTAAATCATGTTTGTGATATGACCCATGACTTAATGGACTTCAAGTATTTCTCGAAAAGTTGCGAATGTTGTGTCATAAAAGTATATTTTTAATGTATAGTGGGTCATTGCTCCATATTTTTGGTAACCAAAAAATGTATATTTTTATGCAAACTTTGAAGATTAACTTTCAAAAAGGTGGAGCGAAGACCCACTCATATCGAAAAATAGTATTATAGTTGGAGAAAATGACTCTTTTAGCCCGCTTTTGTGTGTGTCTTATATTTCACAGGCAAATAATTTCAATCTTTGCGGGATTTTTGCAAATTGTAGAGATTTTACATAAAGTATATTTTTATGTTAGACGAAATATCAAGGAAAATTTTGATATAATTGAAATTTAATTTTTCATCTTCATATTTGTCACACTATAGGCTTATCGCTCGTCATGTTCACCCATCTCCTTTGTGTCCACCATTAAAGAATTTTTTTCATTGAATATGGTCGCATC